TCTCTCTCTCTCTCTCTCTCTCTCTCTCTCTCTCTCTCTCTCTCTGCCTCTCTCCCCCTCGAAATTATAATATTGAGAGCTAACAAGGGATGAAAGTCAATCTGGTTCTCAGGTCACCGACCGGCGTAAATCACCGAATGGAATAGAGTAACGTAGATCGCATTAAGTTCATTACAAGTCGTGCTAAATTAATTTCGAGAAAAAGAAGACCTTTTTTGAAAGTAGAAGAAGATTATAAAAATGTACAAAAAATACAAATTTTGACATGATGTTTGCGACGAGTCTCAAACTTTTCAATTTGAGAAATCGATTTTCGAAAAGGGATTTGTAGAAATAACGAATTCAGAAAGGGAGACAGATACATGGAAAAAACAAGTTTAGCTAGAATAACTGAATGGTCACTACACGAAAAACTCGTTGAGGAGAAATAATATTACTGTGGTAAAGAAAACTCCGAACATTCAGTTGCATTAAACCTCAATTGAGATAATTGCAAGCAATTGACTGAATGGTAAAAATCTTTTCTGCAGGAATCTGTTCCCACAACCAAGTTTCTCATCTGGTTCCCAGCGGCGTAACAGAAAATTCAATTACACTAACGGAGTCGTTTTTACCATGTAGGGTTGTGAATGTGTGGCGAGACGAGCGGTCGATTTACGGGAGGAGACGTTGCGCGAAGGATACTCATCGGCGGTTTGCATAAACGATTGCAGATCCCGATCGGAGATTACGGGACGGCAGGAAAGGACAGCGACAGAATTAATGCCGCGCGGAAAATGTCTTGATAACAGCAAAGACATATTTCCGGTGCTTTGTCCTGCTCGTAATCGGCCGTGTCGTTCGGGACGACAAAAATACGATTCGTTTCATCGAAATTCATCGTTCCCCGTCGTGCACGAGGGCGCCACGTACAGGTACACGCGGCGCGGCGCCGACGACCGCTTGGATCTACGCGAAATCGCGATTTAAAAGTCGTTAAAGTCGGCCGTAACAAACCGAGCCGTTATCAGATTTATCATATTACAGGCTGTAACGTCGGTTATTATTTGCAGATTTTTATGGAAGATTAGCGCGACGATGACGTCGGCGAAGGGCAAGCGAAAAGGCGACGGCAGCGGGCGACGGACGGGAGGGGGAAGGCAGAGACACTTTTTGCCGTAACGCAAATTTATGTTTCTCGGCCACGACGATAATTAAGGCGATCCCTGTCACAGATTATAATTTCAACGGACATTTTTATGTAGATTCGATGGTGATCGATATTAGGCGTTTTTCGTCACGCCTTGGCGGATAAGCATTCGCTTTTTATATTTCGAGCCGACAAGTCGGCGAAATTTGGCGTCACTAATTTCTGCGCGCGCTCCGCGCAGAGGGTAATTAATTATTCGAGAAGTTACTCAATTTACCGGCGGAGTGCGCGCGTGTATTTATGATACCGAATCTTCCGCGAGCTTCCGGAGAAGATAATTAATTATTGGAGAAATTGCTCTGAATTTACCGACGAGCTGCGTTCATTTATGATACCAGATCTTCGCGAAATTCTCTCTCGGAATACGAAAATGACTCTCGAAAGCGCATACGGGGAAAAAAATTAACCGCGACAGCAAAAATCAGCTAAACATGGTAAAATTATAGCGAAATTTCCTACGTTCCTTAGCAAAATAGATGTTACTGACAGTCTATTCCTGAACTACTAAAAATATAGTAAAATTGGAAAAAAAATTATACGAGGAAAAACTATAATATGTATTGATATAGTTGATGTGTCAAAGTAAGAATCATAACTACATGGAAAAAAAAGATATGGACAACTAAAAATAATTTGCTGTGTTAGCCATTTTTTCTTTATTGCAGGAATGAATTACCTTGCTAAGATAACAAGAAAATCTGCTCCTGTAACAAAAAAGTAGCTAAAGCAGTAAATTATGTTTAGTTGTATTTGTAGTAAATTTGCTGCGTTAGTCACTTGTCTTGCTGTACGAGCAGATTTTATTGTTATCATAGCAAGGAAGTAGATTTCTGCAGCAAAGAAAAAGTTGTTAATACAGCGAATTATGTTTAACTGTCCATATATAGCAAATTAATTTGCTACTGCAACAAACTTTCTTTTCCATGTACACATATTACTCTTACACAAATATTACCAGAAAGTGACTCTGCTGCTAACAAAAGTATTTCTCATTGTGTTGGGTGGTGGTACACCGTTTCATTTTTTTAGCTATACAACCGATATACTGACAACAATAGCAACAGTTTTAGTTTAGCAACAGCAACACGAAGAAAAATAATTTGCTGGCCCAACAAATTTTCTACTTTAGCAAAATCTTTTCGTTATTATATGGACAGCAAAAAGATTTGCTAAGAATATTAATCACTATTTGCTGGATATAATTTGCTAATAGTGCTATAAGAAAAATAAATAAAAAAAATAAATAAGAAAGATAAATTATTTTGCTATAAGCACCATGATGGATTTATATAAGCAGTTGCAGTTTGCTCCGATAGCAAATAAATTTGCTAAGGATATATTATTTTGCATCAATAGCAAATTAACGTGATTCTTAGGACAAACACACTCAACAAATTTTTTCTATCCTGGTAACGAAATTACTTCTGCTCTGATAACGAATAATTTGTAAAATTAGTTACGTCAACTAAATTTTTTTGACGTCGCTACGAATATGCGGTAGCAACGACGAGTTTTGCGAGAGAGCAAAATTATTTTTCTCCGTGAACAAATATATCTGC